TCACCAGCAATTTTCCAAAATTCCGGAGGCAAGAAATAGAAAATCTCGAATTTAGAGCTGGTTGTCCTTTTCCGAAAAGGACAAGCGCGACTAAATGCACAAAATCCTGGATTTAGAGCTGCTTGTCCTTTTCCGAAAAGGACAAGCGCGACTAAATCTTCAAAATCCTGGATTTAGAGCTGCTTGTCCTTTTCCGAAAAGGACAAGCACGACTAAATGCACAAAATCCTGGATTTAGAGCTGCTTGTCCTTTTCCGAAAAGGACAAGCGCGACTAAATGTACACACGGGCCGGCCCTCCAGATTGTCACGCGAGTCTGTCTTGTCCTTTTCCCAATTTGTGAACGCCGACAAAAGTGACAATCTGGGCCCCCCGGCCCCCCCCGTACACACAGTGCGTTTCTGGACGCTCCGCTCGCCCCCTAAGGGGGCATCCTTGCTGTCCTTGTGGAAGCTAGTAATGGCGTTGAACTACAGCGACTGCTGTACGCGCCAATTGACTAGCGAAGCGGCCTCCACATACCTAAAAAGGCCGAGGATGCTTTCCCGAGCATTTCCGAAAGGCTGCGGCCATACTTTCGGGGTGCGTGCCACGGCCGCGCTTTGCGCGAGGATTCGTTCCTCAGTGCCACGGGCCGGGATCTTCCGTCCAACCTGTTAAAGGGAACGCGTGTACTCGCATGGCGAGTGCGCGTTACTACCGGGCTGTCGACTCCTCCGAAGTCGGCGAACCCAGCACAGGTGAAGCCTCTCTGCCATTCTTATCCGGCACGGGCTACGGAAGTAGGAGCGTGTACTGAGGGACACTCTCTGACAAGGCATTCTGAAACAAGGCTATCCCGGATTCACCATGAATCATCCATCCGGGGGGTGCCTTCAAGGATCTTCACACTCCCCATGATCAACATATACGTTAACTCAACATGTGCCCGCCAAGGTATTGCTCTGGTCGCAACTCGGCTGCAAACAAGCATGTCCACGTCTAGAGTGTGCTTGCGTCATGCTTGCGTGATGCTTGCATCGATTTCTTTGCCGAAGCCAAGGTACAATCAGCGCCGTCAGATGAGGCGAGAGCCGCCTGGCCTTTCAAGGAGTTTTAAGGGTTGGGAATGAGAATTTGCTTGCAGAGTTGTTTCGCTTACTGGGGCGTTTGGAAGGAAAACCTCTGGCAGAATTACTTCGCTTCTTGGGGCTTTAGGAATGAAGATGGGTTGAAGGTTTAAGTTTAAGGTTCTAGGGTTTAAGGTTTCCGGTTTTAGGGTTTAGGGTTTAGGGGTTCAGGGTGTAGGGTTGAAGTTGAGGGTTTCGGGTCCTAATTCCTAGAAATCTAGGGTTTGGGGGCCCTTGGGTGTAGGGATTGGGGTTGAGTTGAAGGTCCTAAATTTGATGGTTTCGCGCCCGAGACCCTAGAGTTTAAGGCCCTAGGGTTGAGGGTTAGGTGTCAGGCCCGGAGGTTTAGGGTTTAGGGCCCTAGATTGTAGGGTTTCAGTCCCTAGGCTTGTAGGTTTAGGGTTTCGGGCCCAAGGGTTGAGGGTTTGGAGTGCTAGGGTTTAGGGTTTCGGGCCCCAGGGTTTAGGGTTTAGGGCCCTAGGGTTTAGCCTAGCTAGGGTGTAGGGTTTACCAGGGTTGCGGGTTCAGGGTCCTAGGGTTTAGGGTTTCGAGCTCAGGGTTTAGGGTTTTGGATCCTAGGGTTTAAGGTTCAGGTTTCGGGTTTAGGGTCTAGGAAGGTGCTAGGTTTGTGGGTTTTCGGGAAGGTGCTAGTTGTGGGTTTTCAAGGTTTAGGGCCCTAGGTGGGTCTAGGGTTGAGGGTTTTCGGCTTAGGGCCCTAGGGTTTTGGGTTTAGGAAAGCCCTCTCTTTGAGGGTCTAGGGTGCTACGGTTCGGGCCCTCGGGCTGAGGGTTTAGGGCCATAGGGTGTAGGGTTTAAGGCCCTGGGGTTGAAGGTTTAGGGTTCTAGGGTTTAGGGTTTCGTAGGGTTTAGGGCCCTAGGGTTTAGGGTTTAGGGGTCCTAGGGTTTAAGGTTTCGCTCTCTCAACATGTGCCCGCCAAGGTATTGCTCTGGTCGCAACTCGGCTGCAAATAAGCATGTCCACGTCTAGAGCGTGCTTGCGTCGTGCTTGCGTGATGCTTGCATCGATTTCCTTGCCGAAGCCAAGGTACAACCAGCGCTGTCAAACGAGGCGAGAGCCGCCTCCGGACTGCATCTAGACGAAAGAATCTCGAGTCCGCACAAGCCTTTCAAGGAGTTTTTAGGGGTTAGGAATGAGAATTGCTTGCAGAGTTGTTTCGCTTATTGGGGCGTTAGGAAGGAAAACTTCCGGCAGAATTACTTCGCTTATTGGGGCTTTATAAGGAATGAACATCTCTTGCAGAATTGTTTCGCTTATTGGGGCGTTAGGAAAATAAACCTCTTGCAGAAGTGTTTCGCTTATTGGGGCGTTAGAAGGAAACCTTTCGCGGCCACGAGACGCCGAAACAGTCCGCCCAGAACCCGAAACAGTCCCCACCAGAGCCCGAAACAATCCTGGGAGAACTTGAAACAGTACCCACGAGAGCCCGAAACAATCCTGGGAGAGCCCGAAACAGTCCCCGCCAGAGCCCGAAACAGTTCCCACGAGAGCCCGAAACGGTCCCCAGGAGAGCCCGAAACAGTCCGCGCGAGAGCCCCAAATAGTCTGAAACAGTCCCCGCGGAATCCCGAAACAGTCCCCAGGAGAGCCCGAAACAGTTCCCGCCAGAGGTCCAGCGAGAGCCCGAAACAGTCGTCGGACGAGGCGAAAGCCGCTTCCAGACTGCATCTAGACGCAAAAACCTCGAGTCCGCACAAGCCTTTCCCGACGTTTCGTAGGCTAGCATGCGTCCGCCAAGGTATGGCTCTGATCGCAACTCGGCTGCAATCAAACATGTCCACGTCCAGAGTGTGCTTGCGTCAGGCTTGTGCCATGCTTGCATCGAGTTCCCCTCCGAAGCCAAGGTACGAGGGCGACGTCGCACATGATCATGCGTTGCATATTGACTCAACACGTGCCTGCCAAGGCATATTGCTCTGGTCGCAACTCGGCTGCAAGCAAGCACGTCCACGTCAAGAGCTTGCTTGCGTCAGGCTTGTGCCATGCTTGCATCGATTTCCCGGTCGAAGCTAAGGCCGCCGGATGAGGCGAAAGCCGCCTCCAGACTGCATCTAAACGCAAAAACCTCGAGTCCGCACAAGCCTTTCCCTACGTTTCGTAGGCCAGCATGTGCCTGCCAAGGTATTGCGCTGGTCGCAACTCGGCTGAGCTGTATCACGAAATCTAGCTTGCTTGCAGGGCCCGAAGTGATCCTGAATCAGCCGCAGGCGGTGAGAGCCGCAGACAACATCAGTTTCACAGAACGGCTACGGCTACATCGCGACCTTTCCCCGAGCCGGGCAACAATGGAGTGTACTGCGCAGCTGTCCTCGTTAGTCCATGCGCTTGTGAAAATTCTGGATTGAGTCCAGAGCCCAAGGGATTGAGCTGCCCATGCCTGCTGCAGCCCAAGGTTTGAGAATCAAGCAGGTAAGGCCCTTCGAGACCAGGGCGTTTTGCTGTGTAGCAGGATGGCGGCAATCGATTACACCAGATGGGACCATCCCGACAGCAGCAGCGACGAAGAAAGCTTTTCAATGCCCACTCCGCCAACATCCCCGAAGCAACCGATACGGCCAAGCATCTTCGTGCAGCCGAGTCAGCCTCTCCCGCTAGACGCAGAGCTTCGTGCCCAAGTCCTTCGGGAAGAGCAAGAACTCGCCGCTTTCGTGCAACGCCATCCTTGTCCTTCAGAAAACACCATGAAGGCCTGGCTTCGCGACGCGGCAGATCACGAAGGCCCGGCCGAAGAAGATTCCCGGACTTTCTCCCAACTCATGAGGCACCTGGGCTGGACACCCAAGAAGCTGGGCTGGTTCCACTACCCTTCCTTCCGTACCTTGTGGGAATCAGCAGGCCAGAGATGCCAAACAGCTTTTCTGGACCAGCGCAGAGTGGGCAGGGAGCTCTACGAACGAGGAGGGCGCGAGTGCATGCAATTCCATTACTATGCCCTGCACTATGCCATGTGCGGCGACTCCGTCCTTCGCGGCATCAACAAGCCCCTGCCTGTCTACGGATTCGCAAGCCACCTGGAAAAAGTATGGGACGGCATCGGATCTTGGCTGGCTTGAGTTGGACGGTCTGGACAAGAAGACCGCTGCCTTGTTCGAGACAGCCCCGGCCCATTGAAATAGGTGGAAGTGATTGGGACGGGACGGCAAGGAGCGAGCGGAAAAATTGCTTGGAACCAGCTGCAAGCCAACGTCACTGCCATCATGCCTGCAATGAGAGCACACTAGTAGCACTAGCTTGGCACCGCAGCCCAATTCGCGCTCAAGAGCATCAAGAGCAGAAGTTCCGCACCTTTCGGCGACTATCCAGGCCGAAGCCGCTTCCGACAGTAAGCGGGAAGGAATGGCAGCAGAACCTTCTCCGCCGGCCCTGCAGGTCAAACGGAAATGTACCCGAGCAACCGCCGCCGATGGGCCGATGTCGAGGACGAGGAGGAACAGGTGGCATGCAGGAAGCTAGCAGTCAAGGCATACAGACTCTCTCGCACTCAGTCCCTGTCTTCCTGTTTACCGAGGGAGAGAGAGAGAGGGAGAGAGAGTGAACAAAAAGGCAGAGACGAAGGCAGACAGACGGCCGGATCTTGGCGCGCGCAGGGGACCGGATGGTGTTTCAACTTCGAGGCGTTCAAGAGGCAATACCTGGCAACGCAGTGTTCCTTGACGCTGAAGACGCCAGCCACCGCCCCAGAACTGCATTCGACCACAGTAATGCAAGCACCTGCCGTCCTATGAATCCCGTTGCTTCTGTGGGAAACCCAGCGAGGCCGGAATGATCAAAATCGACGAGGCTCCACGCCAAGCTTTCGACGGCAGCGATAGCTAGCGGACTCACTTTGGAACCCTCGAGCAGCCTCCACCGCAATGTGCCCGCACCGAGGCATGGAAGACGCATCCGACGACATCCCGGACACGAAGGTCGGCCAGTGGCCAAAGTGGACAGCAACGGGCGCACCGACGCAAAAAGGCACTGCCTTGAGGGTTGAAAAGAACGCTTGGGAGACGCAGAGACTGTGCATTAATCAGTCTGCAGGCTCCCGCGCCGAGACCACCGAAGCCAACAAAGTGGACGGCCGAGGACGATTCCGCACTCGAAGACGCTTTCCAAATGGCAGAGGCGCGGCACGCAGCCTAATTCAGCCGCGCAGCTCCTCGATCAATGCGGCTGCAGGCGGAAAGGGTCACCGCAAAAGCTTTGTCGGAGCAATCCGATTCAGATGCCGCGGTGGGCCCTCCTCATGGACATCGCGGCGCTGCAGCACGACGGGGCGGCGCCAATGCGAACGCCACGGAACAAAGCGGGCCCAGCATCGAGGCAGGCCCGCCGTCGGCTTGCTCTGCAACAAATTAGGTTCTATTCTTCGGATAGCCAGAAGCATATATATCTACACACATAGCCGCATGCTTCGACGCCAAGAACTTAATGTCACGTAAAGAGATGATTTGACCCCCGACTCGGGTGACCTTATAGCAGCGCGCGAGTTCGAAACCGCATGCACGCACCCCTTCTCTCGAACCGTGTGCCGCTGTGCAGGCCGAAAGAACAACCGCCACCGCGACTGCAAGCGACAACAACCATCCAGCAACGCTTGCAAGAAGCACCGCTGGACGACTTCGTGCAGAACCGACTGCGCGACGAGGAGGCGCCGGGCCGGATTCCGACCACGAATCGGAGCCCGGCCCCAGCATCGAGGCCAGTTTCATCGCTCGGGGCTCCATTATGATGTAAGAAGGTCCATTCTAGCGACGGCTCTACACCTGACAGGAGCACTTTCGGGGCATGCTGACCATGAAGAAGATGACGGGCGACGGCAACTGCATCTTCCACGCGCTCGCGGAGAAAAGCGGCGAGAACGGGGTCCACCTGCGCTCCCAGATCATCCAGTACCTGAAGGAGAACGCGGCGTCCCAAGAGCACGAAGAGCAAGTGGAAGCCTGGTTGGAGGAAGCCGAACACCTCGAAAGCAACCCGAGTAACTGGGGCGGCGACACGGCCATCGTCGCCTTCACCCTCATGAGACAGCAGCAAGCGTTCCTGCACTGCCGGGCGTCGGACGGCGAGATCTGCACGAGCGAGCGCACGCATGTGGAAGTGCGCGAAGAGGCCCGACGGCACCCCCACGCAGTACCGAACGTCTATTATCACGCAATCCACCTCTGGTTCAACGGGAAGGACCACTACGATGTGCTCGTGCCCATTGACCAGACGCCACCACCACTACCACCACCACCAACTCCACCAACACCACCACCAACACCACCAGCAGCAGCACCACCACCACCCCACCCAGAGCCGCGCCCGCCCAAGCGCCAGAGAACCGCAGCCGGCCAAGCTCAGCGCACCCGGCAAGGTCAGGCGCAAGGAGCCACAGAGAACCCAGAGGCGGCACCCCCCCAAGCAGCAGAGGAAGGACCCAGCCTCCTCGAAGAGCTGACCAGCATGCCCGTTGCAACGGAGTCAACGGAGCCCACCCACTACCACCCCAGACGAAAGCTGGAAAATGCGCTCAAGCACTTCGCAAGCACCCACCTGCGAGCCCAGCCACTGATACCACCCGAAGCCAAAGCCGAGAACGTGGACCAGGGCGAAGCCTGGCCGCAGGTCTTCTGCGCATTCCAGGGATGCAAATGGTCGTTATTCTCTGGGACGGAAGAAAAGCTCCACGAGCATGTCAAGGACTCTCACGCACCGGAGCTGGAGTTGGTGGCCCAGCACATGCCCGGGCCCCTGCCGAAAGACGCCCTGACCAGCGTCTACAACGAGGCCGTCGCACTTCGATGCAGAGAGGCCGCGCCCGTCGCGGGAAGCTCTCGGGACAGAAGCGCGCTGCGCAGCTTCGCCGAGGCCACCAGCAAGGACAACGTGGAATCGCTCATTTGCTTCAGCTGCGCCTGCATTCACCCGCGCACAGCCGACATGGCGGCCAGCAGCCGCATCAGCTGGCGCAAACTCATCCAGAGCCCCGGCAGCAACGACGACAACCACGCCGAGACCACTGCAAAACTGCACGAGCTGCTGAGCATCGACAAATACCTCGACTACTACGACGACCTGGCCGGCGACGCAAAGCTCACAGACGTGGCCAACTTCGACGACTGGACGGTGACCATCCCCGGATTCGGCAACATCCTGTGCTGCCCGGAGGACCATCGATGCCAAGCCCGCCCCGAGCACCCCAGCCAGCGCACACTCTGCGAGCACTGCGAAGTGCCCCTTTGCAGCGAGTGCGACGAGCAGCTGCGAAAGGGCCGGCTGCCGCCCCTGAGCCTGTGCAACGACATGTGGACCGGCTACTCGCCAGCACGCCTACACGAAGAGAAGGTCACCGTCATGGAGATGATCTGTGCCAGCCCCTGCGTCACCACGCTGGTCTGCATGGCCATGGAAGCACGGCACCGCAGCGAGGGAACCACCCTAGACGAGCAAGCCCAGAACGCCAACCACCGCCTCGGAGCCCGGGGCAACGCCCTCACCTTCCCGCTGCCATGGGAAGACGTGCTGCGCAACCTCCAAGCGCACGAGGAAGGAGTGGCGGAAACGCAGCGAGCGGCAGCGGCAAACGAAGAGCCGCCCCCAACGAACATACCACGCGCAGGGGCGGCACTCGGCGACGTGGTGAGGGTCCTCCTGAAGACCAACAAAACAGGCAAGACCAGCGAGTCAGAAATCAAAACCCTGCTCCACCAAGCGACGGTGCGGAGGGAAGTGGTCGTCAACCTCATCCTGGACATGCAACGCCTGGGCCACCCCGCCTTTCAGCACCTGCGACAAGAAGCCGTGCGCGAGGCCGCGGCACAGCTGCCGGAGGGCGGCGTGCCCCCGGAGGTGCTGAAGGTCATCCACGGCATGAGAGAAGAGGACGAGACCAGCCACAAACTGCAGCCGCAGAAGGCGGCGGCCCCCACGGACGCCCCGGAACAAGACGTGCAGCAAGCCGGCACCATCTTCGCCAACCAGCGCGCCCGCGCCGTTCTTCCGGAAGGCTGCAACCAAGACCGAGAGGACCAGACCGCCGTGGCCACGGCCGCCCTGAACGACCTCGAGGACCAGCTCCGAAGCAAGCAGAAGAACGAGAAGATCCTGGAGACCTACGAGGTGCGCACGAGCAACATGCTCGTGGACCAGTTCCAGCCGCTCTACTTCGCCACGGCCTTCAGCTTCTGCTTCGCGCACGGCACCGCCTGTCCCGACGTCAAGAATAACCAGCAGGGAGCCCGCAACGACCGGCAGCAACGGCGGAGGAGCAGGAACCCCGACGCCCCCCAAGTGGAAATCCACGCGTGGGCGGCGGCCATGCAACGCCGAGCCGAGACCCAATTCCGGCGGGACTGGACCTTCGGCTTCACCCTCTGGAACTACCTCTTCAGGACCATGGTGAACCTGCAGCAGAACACCTTCATCTACAGCGTCCCCGACGACAACAACGGACGCAGAGCACTGACCAGCCAAGAGATCCTGGACGGCGGCAAGCAAATCCAGAAAGAGCTGGTCAAAGGGAAGTACCTCGACGTCAACGGCCAGACGAAGGCCATCAACGGAGACCTGAGCAAGGTGCGCTTCGCCACCGGACTGCAGCCGGCAGCCGTGAAGGCGCGCAAAACAGGAAAACCACTGCCAGAGCCCAGCTTGTCAACCGACGACACCAACAGAAGCTGCAGGTAAAGACTATAGTACAACCGGGGAAAAAACTTGCATACGTAGGCTCGGAACCCTTATAATGATGTAACGAAAGCCAGAAAAAGCCGCAGGTCTTGGACAACACGGTGGCGCGCAGCCGGAACACCCCCGGCACCCACGAGGTGCGCGCGACCATGCGCCACCAAACCCACGCCAATCGGGTCTGCCACGGCACCCCGCTCTTCGTGACCTTCTCCCCGTCCGAGCGAGACAACACGGTGATGCTGCGCCTGGCCCGCGCCCGGCAATCCGACCCCAGCCTCAGCCAGGAGTCCCAGACCAACCGTGCCGCACAGAGCCGCGGCAAGCCCGAGCTGGACGTGGAGTTTTGCAGCCTGAACCCGGAAGCACTCGCCGCGGAGCTGCCGCCCTACGACGAGCGGCGAGCCATGCTGACCAAAGACCCCGTGGCCTGCGCGGACGGCTTCCGCGTCCTGGTGCAGCTGGCGCTCCGGCACCTCTTCGGCGTCCGCTACTGCCCGAAGTGCCCCGACTGCGGGAATTCCGACAATCCCTGCACGGACGCGTTCGGCAGCAACGCCATGGCGTGCGGGGGCATCTTCGGCCGACTCGACGCCGCCTACGGCTCCATCGAGTGCCAGAAGTCCGGAGTGCTGCACATCCACTTTCAGGCCCGCTCTCCTCAGACAACAACTATAGACCAGCAACGCACAACAAACACACACGCACGCACGAAAAGCGAGAGAACCAGCAATCTCTAGATTCATCGAGGCACAAAACGAGACACGACACCGAAACCACGGCCGCATGCTTGCCCTGCCCGCAGCTCTTCCTCCAGTGCTTCCACCAGTTCAAATCCCTCTCGGAGCTGCTCGCGCTGAACCCGGAGCACAAGATGGACCTCTTCCAGAAGTACTGCACGTACACCGCCCACGTCAGCCGCACCATCTACCGGGATCCAGAAGAATGGGAAAACAAGCGCCAGGAAACGGAGGAGAAGTGGCCCGCCTACCGCGACTCCCTCCTGGCCCTGAGCCGCCCGGACTACCAGAAGGCCGACGCGTCCATGGACGATACAACCTGGCGGCGGCTTTTCCTGGACGAGGACGTGGAAGCCCTGCAGCAGCTGAAGCAGCACCACGTGCACCTGCCCAAGAAACCGGGCGGCCCGCGTCTGCCGCTGGATCACTGCCGCGACAAGAAGGACCCCACCAAGTGCAAGTCGGGCTTCCCGCGCGAGATGCAATTGACCGACACGACGACGCTGGTGTGCCAAGGCCTGGCAGAGGAGATGGGCATGCCCGTGAGGGGCAAGCGCAGCGCTCTCGGTCGCCTGTGGGGGCCCTGCAACGACCCGAACCTCAACGGCAACCACCCCGCCTTGCTGGCCGCCCTCCGCTGCAACGGCGACGTGCATGTGCCCTATCGCTTCCCGATCACGGAGGACCTCCACGCCTTGTCCGGACACTGCGACAAGGACTGCCCGGCCCAAGCCAGCCTGCGCGAAATGACCCAGCAGGCCCAGGTGAACCAGGCCGCGCAGGCGGGCTACGCCTGCGACTACAGCAACAAGCGCAATCCCATCGCCGTCAACGAAGTCCAGGAGTGGAAGAAGAGCCAGAACGATCTGCAAGCGGAGCTGCAGAACAACCCCTCCA